ATGAAACCCATCTTTCTTGTATTACAGCATGCATTTTGTTTTTGTGATGGTCTATCCTACCACAGTTGTTCCAACTGCAGCAATGAGACAGCAGGTCTGGAGGCATAAGGCAGCACATCTCCATTACAATGGCTTTCAAATCAGCAGGATTCCATGCTAAATAATACAACAGTTTCTCACATTGCTGAGGCAACTCCAGAGACTGGTGGGTGAAATTTCTGAATGATTCATTCTGTGATAGCTTACACTGAAGAAAAAGAGGAGGTATTAGGTACTTTTCCTGCACAGTCATGAGGCTTGTTTCTCTTTTCCCTACAATACACCCAACCAGGTCTTGAACTTGCTAGAAAGCAGTTACAAAAGCCCTTCCCAGAAGTTCATTTTTTTAATTTAAAAGTTAATAATGTTGAGCAAAATTAACTTTGACAAAATACTATCACTGAGTTAAACTGGATCAAATTGCCTAAAACATTGAGAGGTGATGTCTTTTGGAATTTATTTATAGGTCATGTTATTATTTAAAGCTATGGAGGGGCCAGTGCTGTGGCGTTGCGGGAAAAGCCACCGCCTGCAGAGTTGGCGTCCTATATGGGCATCGATTTGAGTCCCGGCTGCTCTCTGCTATGGCCTGGGAAAGCAGTAGAAGATAGCCCAAGTCCTTGGGCCCCTGCACCCACGTGAGAGACCTGGAGGAAGCTCCTGGCTCCTGGCATCAGCACAGCTCCAGCCGTTGCAGCCAATTGGGGAGTGAACCAACAGATGAAAGACCTCTCTCTCTCTCTCTTTCTCTCTCTCTCTGCCTCTCCTTTTCTGTGTAACTCTGACTTTCAAACAAAGACATAAATCTTTAAAAATAAATAAATAAGATATGGAAACCATATAAGCACAAGTTAATCATGAAGGAATTGTCAATTAGTGTTTTTTACCATTACATCAAGAAACAGTTATTTAATAAATTGGGAAATAAGAATAATCATGATTTTATTGTTTGTAGAATTTAATTTTGAATTGTTATTGTCACATGAAAACTTTTATTTGCCAATTATGAGTTATTATCTGTCACATGAAAATTCCTGATAATTCATCTAAATTAGAAAGTATCTTTGAAAATGATAAGCACTGATTATCAAATTAGATACACACACACACACAGATATATATAAGACAGGCAAAGATAAATCTCAAAAATAGCGTAGATTGTTCACACAAAAACACTGAATCTTGGGGCCAGTGCTGTGGTATATGGATGGGTAAAGCTACCGCCTGCAGTGCTGGCACGCCATATGCACGCCAGTTCTAGTCCCAGCTGGTTGACTTCCAATCCAGCTCTCTGCTGTGACCTGGGAAAGCAGTAAAGGATGGCCCAAAGACCCCTGAATCAGCGTGGGAGACCTGGAAGAAGCTCCTGGCTCCTGGCTTTGGATCTTCCCAGTTCCAGCCATTGTAGCCATTTGGAGAGTGAACCAGCAAATGGAAGACCTTTTTCTCTCTGCTGCTGCTGCCTCTCTGTAACTCTGCCTTTCAAATAAATAAATAAATCTTTTTTTAAAAAATTGAATCTCCTAAATGTGAGGTAGACATAATTCCCCAATTGCCATGATTAAATCTGCTGTGGGATGATGTACATTTGAATGTAAGCAAAAAGTAATGCTTAGAATCAAACAAATTATTATCAATGTTTCTCTTAGGTTTGTTTTTTAGTTTTTAATTTAGGTTACATCTACTGCTAATCTTACCATGACTAAAGAGCCCTTCTCTAAGGTCATCCAGCAAGCACTGTAATTAAAATTCCATTAGACTGTCGAGCTTACACCAAATTGCAATTTTTTCACCTATATTCCTTATACAATGTAATGGCATAAGGAGTCAACTGAGTCTTAGACTTCAGTAATTTACTTTCATGAAACTACATTAAAAAAGATAAATGTCTTAGGGTAATGTAAACTACCACTTTAAAATCTACCTGCTTTAAGAGCTGTACATGTTTTGAAGACAAAAAGAAATAAAAGCATGGCTTATACACTCATTAAATAAACATTTATTTAATGTGCACAAAATAATGTACTTCATATGTACAAAATATATACCACATATTGTGATTCCTCCCCCATAAGAATCAAAATCAAGGAGTAAGAAAATACACATTTTAGGCTTGGAAAAGTAACCCCACATCTCTCCAGAGGCAGGCCGGAGTGCCAGGCCCGGCTGTCGGCACATGTCAGCTTGCTGCCCACAGGCCTCCACGCGTAAGGGGGCCCGAACTCCTCTGTGCTGCCGCCTCCTCTCAGCCCGCAGGGGTCTTGTGAGGAGCCTGGGCGCTGCTCAGGACCGAATGCATGACCTCCTATGCTCTGCTCACGCAGGGATCATAGGACAGCCCATGCGCCCCTCTGGGCCTAACTCAGCCACAAGCTTATGCCGTGAGCACCCACACTTTTGCTTAGCTCACGAGTGAACCAGACCAGCAGCCTGGGGGAGAGGGCCCCACCCACAAACCCTCCCCCTTGAAAAAAAAAAAGGAAAATATACATTTTAGTAAATACAAAATGATATGGTACAAAAACATAAAAACAGAGGGATTAAGTAATAATAGGACTAAGATCATTAGAAAAGGCTTCCCTAGAGAGATCATTATTAAATCAACTAACGACGTTTTAATTGCAGGAACAGCACACAGAAAGGAAAGAATTAAGTAAGAGACTCAGCAAATATATTTTAAAAGGAAGTCTAAATCTGGTAACGTGTAAGATAAATTTGCAGAAGATAGTAAACCTACCTGGCAGACATAATAGGAAAGAATATACTATGAATACTTGGATAACAGAGAGGTAATGTGAAGAAAATGCTTATCAATGACGACATCTCTTTCATACTTACAGACAGGACAGTCTATCACAATGTGTAGAAAACCAGAAAAACATTATTGTTACAATTATCCAAAGGTAATGGTGCAGAAGGTCTCTTAGTATGACTGAAGAAGATGTAACACAGCCACACAGGCTGGGCTATCCTTGGAAATTAAGATCTATTTGTGTCTCTCTGGCGCCAAGTTATCTCTCTCACACACACACACGCATGCTCACACATCACACACATAAAATCAAAGCCTAAGCAAACTTGAAGGCCTAGAGGTCTTGTGTGTATGGCATATTAGCAGATCCCACAGCTAGGGTTTCGGTGGTACACATCAGGAAACTGTTGTTTCCATGAGGTGCCTCGCAAATGTCAGTACTGATAAGGAGGAGGAAAGTTCACTCTGATGACTGTCCCAATCAGAACTAGATTTTGAATCCAGTTTGATATAAGGCCGATAACAAATTCAATTATAAATTAAAAAATGTGTTCTTAACATACTAATGCTGCACCTTTCTACCTGTGTTAGAAGATCTTTGTGACTCTATTGTTCTGAAGTAGATATTTATCTTCACAGGTAAACGGTAGTCAAAAGTATTTTAATATCATATAGCCTTGATATAAACACAGTATAGGAATAATTACCCTTGCTTAGAAAATACCTGTTCCACCTACTACCTCTTTACAGCCACTCTTGCTCTTGACTTGTGGAAAATCAAACAGGTTATACAAGTTATGTGGTCCTTCTTGTCACCCCATAATTTGGTTATAAATTACAGCATGCAGATAACACATGAAAGTCACAAACTGACTTTACCATATCGTATTTTACCTTTGCTCTACTGAAAATAGACTTCAACCTACAGAAGAATAAAGAGGATGAAAAAAAAATCAAACTGGCAATTAAATTTATTTTGAAGAAAAAAATAAGTAGGAACTCTTTAAAATTTCATGCTATGTGACCACAAGTACTAAATAATCATAGTTCTGAAAAAGCTGCCTATTACCACATAAATAAAGCAGGAATTCACACTAGGTGTTAAGTTATGAAAGAAATCACAAGTCTTTAAGCCATTAAAAATCACCTCCAACATGACTAGTGAGAAAAAAAAAAAGAAACCCTGAGGACAGTTCTTAATGAAAAAGGGTGTCTACTAACAAGACAACCAACATAACTAAACAGAACTGTGTGCTGACTGATGGTGTTTTCAGTGTACTGAATAAATACAAGTGTGTCAAAAGGCACAAAAGGAACAATCCAGAGACCAACCTGGCTGTAAAATAAGTGTGACTGCTTAACCTAGAGAAGCACAATGATCAAGTCTGATGGATTGTTCCCTTTGGGAACGATCTCCAATGTCTGCATTATTTTACCAGTGAAGAAAAATTAAATACAACTGCGATCTGAAGGAAAAAAAAGAGTCTCTGAACAGGACACCCATTGAATTCACCTTTATTAAAGGACAGGCCTCCAAAAAATTAACTTTCAGAGGACCAATTTTTTAAAAGATTTTTAAAAAAAGAAGTGGCTTTACCCCAGGACCGTGTCTAAGACACCGCTTCTCCACCAGGCCGTGCCAAGTGTGCAGGCAGTAGCCACGCACCGCGCATTCCCAGACTCTGACCTGTGTCGCTCCAGAAACCGAGAGGCGCTGGACCGCGCACGGTCGCTGCGATCCAGGCCAGACCAGCAGGGCCACTTCTCTGCTGCACAGCAGCCTCCCGATTGCCACACTGAGTGGAACCAGTAAGTGGGTGGCACGCTGAGGCTGGCCTGACAGCCTGCCTGCCACCTTCACAAAAACACTCCGTTCACGCGCGTCCTGATACTCCTCGCCTTGCCTGCCTGCGCTCTTGTGTTTGGATGAAAGCAGCCCCAAAGTATCATGGACAAGTTACATCTTTCTTGTTCCCCAAACGGGATGCCAAGGGGCACAGGTACGGGCACCGCCCCACCATCACGCTCGAGGGCACAGTCCCCCCTCTCCGTGCTGTCCCCACCAGGGATCTAGCAGCCCCCAGCCTCCCCCGGCAGCGTCCTCGGGTGGGCGGGCGGAGGGGCGAGGCCATGTTGCGAGGCCCCGGGTGAGGGGCCTGACCCTGCAGGAGAGGGGCGGCTAGGTTACCGGGGCGCACCCGGGATTTACCTTGTTGAGGTGGGGGTTCCGCGTCAGCAGGTAGCCGCGCTGGTGGGTGTGGCGGCGGCGAGGGGCTTTGGGCTCCATGGCTGGGTGCGGGTACGGCGGCGGGGGTCGGTCCGGAGCGCTGGGCGGCACGCGCGGTGCAGGCGGCGGATGCTGCTGAGGCGCCGGCGCTGAGTGCGGCAGCGGCGGTGGTGGCGGCGGCCGCGCGGGGAAAGGCCCCGCGCTCGGGGGCGGGTGTGGGTGGCGAGAGGGGGTGGACGCGGCGGGAGGAGTCCGCGCGAAGCCGGTGTCCCCAGCAGGGCAGCCTGCGAGAAGCGCTGAGTCATGGCAGATCAGCCGAGGCGGCGTGTGAGGAGGAGGAGGAAGAACGAGGCCCTGGCCAAAACGCCGGTGCCTTGAGAGAGGCGGGCGGCGGGGCCCGACCGCACGAGCCGGCGCCAACGGCTGCCCTCGGCTCCCGGGGCCCCTGCCCGCCTCAGCCTGTCTCTGTGTGTGGCATCCCTAGTGCCGTCCACAGAATGCTCTCATTACCCGAGACCCAGATGTGGGGGGTCAGGTCAGGTTACCCTGGACGGGTGCCCCAGGACCATGGAGAGAGGGTGCGAAACAGGGTCAGGCAGAGAGGGCTGCTGCTCTGACTCCGAGGGTGGCTCTGCGATGGGAGAACTCATGAGGTGCAGGAGCCACTCCACTGCCAGGAGACTCCGTCTCTCGCTTCTTAGTCTCCATCCACCGACCTCGGCGCGCTGTCCTGGATGCCAGCCATGCCCGGGGGCTGAGGCAGGCAGGAGGGAACCAACCTTGACCCAAAAAGCCTCTGTGGAACTGGGTAAAAGGCCAGAGAGGAGAACTGAGGCTACGACGCCCCGACGGTGTCTGTAATTATCCATGGGCTTTTAATCTGAATGCCATTGCAGTAAGACACAAGGTGTTAGGGTGTCAAGGCCCAATGAACAGACCTATTCATCTTGCACTTTTTCTGGGAGTTGTAGAAGCCAGGGTGTTCAGGAACCGCTGCTGTCCCTGAATAATGATGGGTAACCCAATCTTCCATGGCTTCAGTTTCTTCTTTGGCTCAGAACAAATGATCTTCCAGTGCTGAAATCTTACTCTTGTATTATTGATATTTATACTTGCAGGCTCCAGGACTGGAGGAGTTGTGAGATCAAAGGCAACCCGAAGGAGTGTCTGAGAGCAGACAATAGCAGCAGACACTGGAGCTTGCTGTGCCCCAATTTCCTCTTCAGTTGAGTAGGATGGTTAGTTTCGGCCCTGTGCCTCTCTCTATATTGGTATTAGAGAGGGCAGTGTTGGAGAGTGTCAACTGTATAAATAAATCCTTGACTGACACACATTCAGCCCTGGTGTTTCCTTCATTTCTAGTGATGTTACTTTATCAAAATACCTTGTCACAGCATATGCTTTGTTGCTCTAAGAGAACTTAACTTCAGAGACTTCCTGGGCCCAGTCTTTAAATTATCTAGAATCAGAATCAGTTGTTTTCAGAGAATGTTTTATTGGCATCACAAAGGTCTTCAAAAGCATTACTTATATTTAAATAACACCTTTCATTGTGAATTCTATAATCTATAAGTGTTTAACTCTACTACATCTGAGAGGAAGGTATACTTTAAAAAACTCACTCTCATGAATTAATTGAGAAATATTACAATTAGAGTGTTTTAATGTGAGATAAAAAACAGTTTTAACATGGTGCCAAATTTAAGATAAGGAAAAACAAAAATTTTAGTACAACAGACATTTTTATAATGAAACTCACTGTATATAAATTCACATATGCTACCTGTCTATTCCTATTTCAGGGATTTATTATCTACAGCTAAGAAAGCTGATATAAATATGGAGATTAAACCAAAAGAGAGCATACAGTCCCTTTCCCACAAGCCAGCATTACAAAGGGATTTCAGTACTCTGCCAGTGAAGGTAAAGTTCACAGCCTTCATCTATATGTTTACTTTTCTCATGAAAAGAGTTCCTCATCTTGAATTACAAGATAGGCCTTGCTGAAGGAGCCACACTGTACCTTCTATAGTTCCAAGGATCCTAAGAATGAACAGTTTTTATACTGTGTGTTAGCTAGAATACCAAAATTTTCAGACCTTTCTCATCTTATGTAAGGTTTGGTTTTATTCCCCCAAACATGTAAAGACCCATAGCTGGGGGTTGGGAGGGGGGGGGGGGGACTCTTGCTTTAATTTGCTTTATAAGAACCACTTGCCCACAATTGGTAAAATTAAGAAACCTGTAGGTTTATCTTAAGCAGGTGAAAGTACTGTCAGTCAAAATAAGATTTTTTTTCCTGCCCAAGTTAAAAATTAGTTTATTTCACAATAGGGTTTTTTTTTTTTTTAAGAGGCAGGTTTTGTTTTTTTTGTTTTGTTTTGTTTTGAAGATTTGTTTATTTATTTGAAAGGAAGCATTACAGAGAGGCAGAGGCAGAGAGAGAGAAGTCTTCCATTTGCTTCCCAAATGGCCCCAACAGCTGGAGCCAGGAGCTTCTTCCAGGTCTCCCACGTGGGTGCAGGGCCCCAAAGACTTGGGCCATCTTCCACTGCTTTCCCAGGCCATAACAGAGAGCTGGATCGGAAGTGGAGCAGCCGAGACTTGAACTGGCGCCTATATGGGATGACAGCACTGCAGGCAGCGACTTTTACCCACCATGCCACAGCACCAGCCCCCACAATAGAGTTTTACAGCATAAATTAAAATATGACCTTGGTAAACTCACTGCTCTAATGTCATTAAGAGTGTAAGTAGAGAAAATTCAGAAAATATCTAATCACCAATACAGCAATTCAAATGTTTTAGTTTCATAAGAAAAAAAAAATAGGAAACAAAAGATGTAGCTATATAACAGTTTTTAATGTTAAACAGATGATCCTGTATTTCCTTGCACATAAAACAAATTACTATGTCTTTGAAATCTGTTTTTTACATTGCTGCACATCTCAGTTTGGACACCAAATTTTTATTAGAATCACTTGGATGTACCTGGATTTTATAAACTTTACAGTTGCAGGAGTAGATTCATACACTCACATTGCCAATCTACTTTAAAGTTTGCTAATAACTAAATTGAGTATTAATTTTTATTTAGATTACACCAGATAAAAGTAAAAAATTGAGTGCCTCAACTTACATGGCCATATTTCAAGTGTCTAATAATTACATTTGGCCAGTGGCTGCCCAATTGGAAAGCATAACCTAATGTAAAGTATATGAATCCTTAATTAAATATTTTTGTGAGTGAAGATCTAACATAGTATTATCTATAATATGCACACAGGAATTGTTAAATTACTTGCAGAGTAACTCAAGTTATGCTATTTCCATTAAATATGAATGCTTCAAAAATGTTTATGGAAAATGGCATTAAAAGATAAGTTTATATTGGTGAAAGATAATTTTGAAATCCATATATTGGTTTTCATAATATACATTTCCATGAACTTTTGGAAGACTCCTTGTATATATGGATTCCAAAATTTTTGCTTCAAAGTAAACACCTTTAATTCCATTTTCCCCACAAACTTGTGAAGCACCCTTGCATAACTATAGCTACAGAACCATGCAGCATCTTGAGTTTCTTTACATAGCATTGATTCCTTGCTTGTCAGATAATCAAACTTGTTTTCATTCCTCAAACTATTAAAAGTTCATGCTTATAGGCCAGTGCTGTGGCATAGTGAGTAAAGCCACCGCCTGCAGTGCTGGCATACCATATGGGCATGGGTTCAACTCCCAGCTGCTCCACTTCTGATCCAGCTCTCTGCTATGGCCTGGGAAAGCAGTGGAAGATGGCCCAAGTCCTTGGGCCCCTGCATGCACATGAGAGACCCGGAAGAATCTCCTGGCTCCTGGCTTCTGGCTTAGGATCAGTGCGACGCAGCTCAGCTCCAGCCGTTACAGCCAACTGGGGAGTGAACCAGCAGATGGAAGACCTCTCCCTCTCTACCTTGCCTTCTCTCTTTGTGTAACTCTGACTTTCAAATAAATAATCTTTTAAAAAAAGAAGTTCATGCTTATAGCAGATTTGTCCCCACTGGGGATGTTATCAGAAATACTACACCAACTTTGAAGGGGAACTCACTCATTTAGCCAAGTGATGGCTGGTGCATAATCAAGGAGACATTGAAAGTAGTAATTTAGAATAAGGCATCTAAAGTCAGATGTCCTGGTCTCCTCTTCCAGGTTTGCCACCCCCAATTTGTGTGCCCTTGTCAAATGACTAACCTCTGTCTGTCTCCTCAGATCATTGTTCCTTAGCATTATTATCTATTAGAGTTTATGAATATTTACCAAAGGAAAACAAGATAAGCAGGGACATTGTTCTATATATTTAAACTTTTTTAGAAGAAAGCACTATCCAATATTAGAAGAATCTAAATGTTCTAAATATAAATTCTTCTTATAATTTGAGCAATCAGAGGTTTTGGCATTAGAAAATATAATTCTTCTGTTTTTGACTCTAACAAAATAAATAATTCCTGAAATTAGTTGTTTTTGTTTAATGTTTTTAAATTGGGGAGTTTTTTTTTAATTTTTGTTTTGATTTTTCCCAGATACCACCACAGTGTAGCTTCTATAATAAATCATTTATCTACACAGATCAGGGGTCAGTTATCTATGTACTATGCACTAAACATTGCCACTCTCACTGCCTATTGTACTGTAGACTAGACATCCCAACATCTTTTCTAGGTTGAAGAGTGGTAAAGCTAATAAGATTTTCCAAGAAGCAAGGAAATTATATCACCCCAAAATTTGGAAACATTTTTAGGTAAGAAACATATTATCTCAAATTATGGCAGTATAAAAGTCACAATCATTCCATTGTGTCTCATGGTTTCTGTGCATTCAGAATTGGGGCAGAGGTTGACTGGTTAGTTCTGATCCAGAGTTTCTCATGTGGTTGTAGAAACAGTGCCTGGAACTGGGGGGAGGTAGCTAGTTACAATAGCTGGGACTATCCAGTCAACCCCCACCCCATGCCGCATCTCTCTGTCTCTCTTCTTGTGATCTTAAGCTCTCCCTGTATGTGGGCTCTCACTGTGGGCTAGTCTGAGATTCTCAAGGCAGTCAAACTGCTTACATTGAGTCCAAAGACTTCCTTAGCAAGTTTTCCAAGAAATAGGTAGAAAGTGCTTTTCCTCTGGGTGGCCCAGATGCGGAAGTCCCATATTGTCACTTTCTCATGTTTTCTCTTTTCAAAT